CTATATTAAGTGTCACTTTGTTTGCTACAGAAATACAGTCACCTCTCAAGTGGAACAGAGCAGCTGTTTATCAGCGCACTGTAACTCTACACCACGCTTTTAAGAAAGGAAGCAAAGTAGAATTTTGCTATTTGAAACTGAAGGGAGGATTTAATGCAGGAAGAGTTGCACTCTCTGGTATTCAGCAGAGTTGCACTGTCTGGGCAAGGATGTTATGTTTAACATTTCTGCTCTGATAAATGCCCAGGACTATGACTACAAATACTCAGGAGCTCAGTTACATCTGATCTGAAAGATGCGGTGCTTATAACATGCCAGCAGGTTTAAGCTCAACATTTCTGGCTTTGTGCCTGTGGTTGGCAATCTGAGAAAATTTCTGTCACAGTATTCTTCTTTCAAGGAGACAAAAACATATTAGGGCTAATTCACCCACTATCTTTGCTGGAGTTATACCAGGGATCAGTATGGCACACTGTTATCTCTATAAACTGTTTAAAAACAATCAATAGAAGTGTAAACACAAACTCCTGTCTTGATCATTGTTTACCATTTCCTAGGCTGATAAGCTACTAAGGGCCGGTTCCTGAACTCTGGAAACCAATAGAAATTTTGTCATTGTCTTCAAGAGGGGCAAAGACCGGGCCCTAAACTCCATTACAAGCACAAACATCATGCTAGACCTGTTCCTCCAAGATGCTGGAGGAACTGCAGGGAGCTCCCAGGGCTCAGCAGTGTTCAGTATGTGACCCTCTCTCAGTAACTATACTTCCTATGATCTTCTAATGCAAAGCCATGATTGTGAAGGTGATGATGGAAAATTCTTGAGGCAGCTCCAATAACAGAGAAACATGACTAGAGAAATCCAGGCTTGGGCTGGAATTTTCAGATTTAAGCTTGCATTTAATGTGTCAACGTGGCATTTGGATGTCAAAAGAGGCCCCAAGTCCTCTAGACATCTAAACAGAATTTTCACTGGCTGGCACCTACTAGGAAATCCTATGGTAAAACCCCAAAGACCAAACTCTGGGTCAGAGTCATGTTGATGGAGCTGCCCAAGACAGCATTTTTGAAAGCTGGGCTCCCACCTTTTCAAAAGCAGCATCAGCATGCACACAGTAGGCAGATAGGGCCAAAATCCCTGCTTCGAGTCAAATGGTCTCAGTTTGCACCAACTGAGAATTTGGCCCCTATTTTGCTTTTACAAAGGTTGGCTCTCCATTTTATTATAACACCATTTCAAAACACAAAAACAAAGACTGATCAACACACACAAGAGGGAAACTTACGTCTTACTATCAGCCTTGTATAAGCAGTGGTGAAGGTGTTTCCTCCTATGTATCTGGCAGAGTAGACCCCTGCATCCTGTAGCAGGGCTTCAGAGCAGGTCACTTCTAGCACATTTGGCACTTCATGCCTGGGCACAGAGTGAATGAAAGAACCTGAGAGAAGGGCATAAAAAACATCATAATAGAGCAGAACATCCATTCAACCCTTCACAAGAGGAGCTCAGGTCAGCCAGTGAGGGAAGACATCTCAGATGAAGCAAGCTGTCTACCACGCAGAACAAATCTGTTGACCATGACACGGTTGGGGCACAAAACCTCTTCTTTGCCTCTCCTCCAGCTGCCGCTGCATAGGAGTTGAACAACCCGGTAATTAATGTCTGAAGAATGTAGCTGCAGGGATACTCACTGTGCCATCAGTGAACTGCAGAATTCTGCTTGTTTTAGAGGATCAGCTCACCTTGTGCTTCAGCTAGTCAGATGCCAGCTTATTCGTATGGTGTGGTACATGTGTATGTATATTTGCAAATATTTCCTTTTATGAATAAGGTCGCTTTGGATGGCCTCTTCTCTATGGTTTCATACTTTCATACATATATAAGTGTTGGCCATTAGTTAGGCCCTGATCATGTAAAGTGATTCACAAACACAGACCCTTACTCCCTTGTGGAATCCTGTTGGTCTCTCCATTCCTTAAGCTCGGGCAGGGGGTAGGCTATGTAGCAATGGGAACCTAAATCATGGAGCAGAGAGAGATCTCAGTCAGATGCCCAGCTTCTGGAGTGCTCAGGGAGAGTTGGGCAGGGGAGGAAAGGGGAAGAGATCTTGGAAGGTAGCAAGTAAATAGAAAAAGAGGAAGTGGGGCAGAAGCACTTAGAGCAGCATAGCACAGGCGATATTGAGGGATGCAAGGCAGAGATACAAGGGCGGGGAGTTATAAGATTAAAAGCAAAGGCACAACAACTGGGGAACTGGAGAGCACAAGGGATTGTGGAGGGGAAGCAAGTAATTTGATCAACGCTGTTTCTAGGGTTGGCAATCTGGCTCCTTCTCTGAGCACTAAATGCACAAGAAATGATGCTTCCTTCAATTGCACAGCAAGAGCATCACCAGTAATTATTTTAATGTAGTGGCACAGGTGCTAGGATATCACAGTGATGGGTGAGGGGAAAATAGAGAGAGAGAGTCGTTACCGTTTTTGTAGATCACTGCATCTTCCTCCATTGCAATCTTTCTGATGAAGGAAATGTTCACATGTTCTCCCTTGTTCACTGTCATAGTTAAGGCCACTGGGAGGAAGGAAGCTAAAATAAAAATGGTCAAAACATGGGATCAATGACTATAAATATTATCAATGACTGTGATTCCCCTAAACTGGAAGCTGAAGGATAATCTACAGCAGAATCATCACTGGTGATTTATATGTTAAGATTTCCTTTGCCATCAGCAGCCCCTGCTCTGTGTTTCAGCAGTGGCATGGGTGGGGGGGCATATAGGTGCTTGAACAATAAGGTGGTGTAACTAGAAGCAAGGAGAGGAAATTAATAATAATGTTAATACTAGCTGGATAACTGGAAACAATTCCTAACCAAGAGAACCAACCAGTTGTAGAATAATTTCCCAAGTCTTTTTAGCCCTAGGGACAATTTTTATAAATAGACTGGGTAAGATACTGGGTAAATTTACTAGGAAAAGATCTTTCACTGGCAAAGAAAGTTTCTATGATGTAGTGAAATGCAACAATGTCAGGACATCAGTGTCATATAAGGCCTACCGGAAGACAGGAATAGCATAGTGTAGTGCTCAAAATTAGTTCACCACACTTTCCACAAGACACCATTCCTTACTGAGGACAACAGAATAAATGTATTCTGAGAAGGGTTGGGCAACATTTTTCAACCAAATTTTTTTCTATCTGAATATATCTTTTCATCAAAATCTAAACGTTGCATGGGAAAATATGCAGTTCAATGCATTTTTTAAAAATTCTTGAACTGGAAAATTCAAAACAAAAAAAATGCACAAAACACAAACCTACTTTCACACACTTTCCTGCTGTTTTCCAATCTTTTCCAGCTGGAAAACAGTAAATAAGTGTGAAAAGTGAGTTTCATTCATTTTCACACCTTTTTCACCTTTCTTGTCTATTTACCAGCGGAGGAAAGGGAGTAGGGGAGTGAGAAACCTGAAAATCCAGAAACCAATAATGGAAAAAAAAAAAAAACAAATGACATTTTAAGTCAAAATTACACAAAACTTTAGTTGCAAAAGATTTTGATACGAAATTAAATCAAGTTTGATTTAATTTCATTTTGAAAATTCCTGTGGAAAACTTGGGATTTTTTTGAGGGAAAAATTTTCTGACCAGCTCTAAATCTGAGATTCCAGGCCAAACTCTTCTTGTGATAATATTGGGGGGTGGGGGGGAGGGGCGGGGAGGGGCGGACATTATAAAAGCTATCCTACCAAATTAGAAAATTCTGATTTTTCAAACTGAACTTTGGGGATATTCAGATCTCAGTCTGGATCTAAACCTCACACTTTAGGCCTATTTTTACTGAGGACAATGAGTACACTCTCAGAGGGATGGGACACTGTGTTTTACTGCTCCCTTCTGTGTCTTCTTATTTTTTCCCAAGGATTTCTAGCTTTTCTTTGGGTAGGTCCCTCCCATACCATGGTTTGCTTCCACCTTCCAAGGTCTTGCAGGGCAGTCACCCTCCTCATGGCTAAAAGGGCTGAATTTTACCTCCTCCAGAATCTGCTAAAGCCAATCTGAGTCTCCACTGGAATAAGCTCTTATGCTCTGGGTCCTATTCTACTGTGGTCCCATTTATGGGATATTTTATTTAGGGTAAAGGATGTGCGGGCTACAGACCAGTATGAATTATGGGGTAATTTTTTCAGACACTTTTCCATTCAGTTATGCTCACACCCCTTGCCCCCACCCTTTGTGCAAACATTCAAGCAAGCACATTTTGGTTTGTACCAAAGATTGTGGAAAGCAAATTTTGGGCCTGTAGCTGAAATTTGTTTACTGAAGTAATTAAATTCATTTTAGATGGAAGTGGAAGTAGTTTATAAATGCTAGGTCAGAAACAAAAGCCAAAGAACAAAAACAACAACAAAAAATAACATGTGGCTTCTGTCACCATCTATCTGTATTAGGTATTTAGTACATTGGCTGGAAAAACTTAGATGGAACCATTTCCCATCAGAAAATGAATTTCCATTGAAGTAAAAATGCTTTGAGAAATCGTATTAATTTTCCCAAAAATGTGTTTAGGAGAAAACCTACAAAAAAGCCCTCACAATGTTAAACCATTCCATTTCGACATTTTCAGAATGAGAAGTTTTGAGTTTTCATTTTGAAATGACTTATTTCCATTTTGAAATGACATATAAAGAAACTTTAAATGCTGTATTATATTATATGCAGTGTTGTTTTAGCCATGTTGGTCCCAGGATATTAGAGAGAAAACGTGGGTGAGGTAATATCTTTTATTGGACCAATTTCTGTTGATGAGGAAGACAAGCTTTTGGGCCACACAGAGGTCTAGGTCTTCAGGTCTAGGAAACTAACTCAGAGTGTCACTCCTTGTCTCTCTCACTAACACAAGTTGGCCCAACTATGAAAGTAGTTCTATTCACTTCAGTGAAATTACTCATGTGCGTAAAATTAAGCACATGCATAAGTGTTTGCAGGTTTGCGGCCTTGCACAATATTATCTAGGCCAGGGGTCGGCAACCTACAGCATGCGTGCCAAAGGTGGCACGCGAGCCAATTTTGCCTGGCACACTGCTGCCATCTGGGGTCCCGGCTGCCGGCCCCGCTCAGCCCACTGCCGGCTGAGTGAACGGAACCCCAGGCCGGCAGGAGGCTGAGCGGGGCCGGCGGCCGGGACCCCAGACCGGCAGCAGGCGTGCCCCCCGGCTCTGCCCTCACCGCGCTCTGGTTCTGCGGCTCCCGGAAGTGTGAGCTGCTGGGGCGCGGGGCCCTGAGCCTGCTCCGGGTGGGGCAGTGGTGGCGGCTCACACTCCCGGGAGCCACAGAGCCCGAGCGCGGCGAGGGGGCAGCCGGGGTGCGCACGGGGACCGCCACCCGCATGCATCCGCTGCAGGAGCCACCCCGGGGGGGGGGGGGAGCACCGGGCCGCAGCCGGGGCAGGCGCCCCCCTGGATCCTCCCTCACTGTGCTCGGGTTCTGCGGCTCCCGGAAATGTGAGCCATCGCCGCCGCCCCTCCCAGAGCTCTCCCCCTCCCACTGCCTCAGCACTCTGCGGGGGAGGGGCTGTGCCCACGGCAGCCCACAGTGTGTTTTGCCTCCACGTGGAGGCAGCGTCTGACCAGCGTGGGCATGGTAAGGGGAGTCCTGGGGGGCAGGCAGGGAGCAGGGGGAGGGTTGGAAGGGTCGGGAGTTCTGGGGGGCCTCTCAGGGGGTGGGGAGTGGTTGGATGGGGCGTGGGAGTCCCGGGGGTCTGTCTGGGGGCGGGGGTGTGGATAAGGGTTGGGGCAGTCAGGGGGTAGGGTCCTAGGGGGGCAGTTAGGGTGGGAGGGTCTCAGGAGGGGGCAGTCAGGGGACAAGGAACAGGGAGGCTTAGGTAGGGGGTGGCGTTCTGGAGGGCAGTTAGGGGCAGGGGCCCCAGGAGGGGGCAGTCAGGGGTCAAGGAACAAAACTGCAATCTATGTGGGAACAGAAAATAAAGCAGAATTTTAAAAAATAAGTTTCTTGCAACAATGATTCAACCAGCTCTACTAAAGTGTTTGATCCTCAGACTCCATCCACAGTCGGAGCTGGGGGTGTGATTCCCAGCACACGTAGACATACTTGCACCAGCTCTCATTGAACTAGCGAGCTAAGAAGAGCAATGTAGGCATGGCAGCATTGGAAGCAGCGGTATGGGCTCGCCACCCTAAGTATGGATTGTAGTCAGGGCTGATAGCTCATGTCGCCACTACCTATGTTACCATGGCTACACTACTTTTTGAGTGCAACTAGCTCACTGAGAGCTAGCCCGAGTATGTCTGTGCTAGCTGGGAACTGCACCCTATCTCCAAGTATTGGGGTGTTCGGTTCGGTGGCTTTTTGTTTTAAATGTAGACAGCTAGTATTAATTGTTGTTTTTCATGAGAAATTCGCTTTACAGTTCAGCTTTTATTTTTCCTTTCTATTTTCTTTGTGTGAGTTGTTTAGTTTATCCATGGGACCTTTTCTTCACAGCATTGTTGTAATGGAAAGGAACCCACATTCCTTGGTGGGCTCCGTTCCAATGTATTTTTAGCTTATGGTCTGCATTTAATTAATTATTTTACAATCTGAGCCCACTCCTTAAAGAGACACAATGAACTGAGTTGTAGAAGTGCCCCAGCTCTCTTTGGCTTACGTGTCTATAAATCCATAACCATCCCTTCCTCTGTAGAGAGATTCTGTTGTGTTACAATTTTTGCCCCTTCAGTCACTAAGGAATAGATTCTATACTATAGATACTATATGCCAGGCAAGTCTAAAGTATACAGGATATAGGAGAACTGGCCCTCTACTTTGAAAATGTTATATGTAGACTCATGCAGAAAAATGTTCTTCCTTTACATTTTCACATTATAAAGGCCAAGATTGTCAAAAATGAATAGCTTATGTTAGGCTCTTACGTCCATATATAGGCACATAGGCCCCAATAAAGCATATAAGCATGTACTTAAGCATGTGAGCAATCCCATTAAAGTCAATGGGACTATTCATATACTTAAAGTTAAGCACATGCTTAAGTGGTGTGATGGAGAGGGGCCCAAAGCAACTGCTAGATTTTCAAAATTGCCAGTCATTTAACAGCTCCCATTGTCTTCAGTTGGACACACAGTGCACCTTTCAACTCATCTGATGAGAAGAAACCCTTAGTGTATCCAGAAGCCTTTAAAATTATTCAGACAATAACTGTGGAGAGGAAAAAAGCCTATTTGCCAGCTACAGTAGTTTTGCCAAACCCTGCAGCCCTTCCCTGACCTTCCTTTCCTCTCCCTGTGGCCTTTAATAGCTTTGAGAATTTCTACCATGTCTCTTTCTCACCCATCTAGAAGCTTACTAGTCAGTGCACATAACAGGCTCTCTGATGAGATCTATATCAGCCAAAGCTTTTAGCAAAGATCATCTGAAAAGTAGAAGTGCAATAATCAAGACCCCCAAAAGGCCCCATCTAAATCCATGTACAGCTGGTAAGAAGATCATATCTCCTCTGGATATAACAGATTTAGCCTGGGTGATCCACATGTCGGGCTCTCAAGTCAAGTCTCTCTTCCCAGGCACGTAAGCCCTTGACCTTAAAGAGCTACAATGGGTTCAGCACCCATCATCATATCTGCTGAGGAACACAAGAAGTCAAGAGAACATCACCCCAATAACCTGCTATCTACACTGGCTTCCTGTTAGATACAAGGCCAAATTCAAGATTTTGGCTCCCATCTTCAAAGCCTTTCGTAGATTGTTACCTGAGGGTCTGCCTCACCTGCTTGGTCATGAACCCCCTCCTTCCCTCCTCCTCCCCCATTGAACAGAACAATGGAACTGGCAACCTCAAGAGTGAGATGTATGTGAGTACAAGGGACAGAGCTTTCTGGGTGACAGGCCTGAGAATCAGGAGTACACTCTCAGCAGAGGCCAGAACAACCACAAACCTTATCACCTTCAGAGTAAAATGCAAAATCCACCTGGCCTGCTCACAACACATTACAACAAAGAAACTTCAGCCCCGCTCACTGGGGAGAGAGAGCAAGAGAAAGTGTTGCTATATGTTCACTCTACAATTCCCATCATCTTGACAGTATTTGTGCACAATAACGGATTTGCAGGCTGAGTGGAGGTGTTTGAACTGTTGGTACCACAACATATTGTGCTAAATATTAGTGATAGGTGAACTTCAAAAGGTTTGAATGTTTGATGAAGTGCAGAAAATTATCTAAAAGTTCTTATGTTTCTCTGGAGCTTATGCCAAGCTCTTTGCTTTGGAACTCAGCCTGGAAGTCTCATGAGATCAAGATACATATGAGATTTCTAGTATGAATAGGCATGGTCTAGGAATCAGAGCATAGCTATCTATCCCCATCCACCCCCTCTATCTATCTATCTATCTATCTATCCCCATCCACCCCCTCTATCTATCTATCCCCATCCACCCCCTCTATCTATCTATCTATCTATCTATCTATCTATCTATCTATCCCCATCCACCCCCTTTATCTATCTATCTATCTATCTATCTATCTATCTATCCCCATCCACCCCCTCTATCTATCTATCTATCTATCTAACTATCCCCATCCACCCCATCTATCTATCTATCTATCTATCTATCTATCTATCTAACTATCCCCATCCACCCCATCTATCTATCTATCTATCTATCTATCTAATACTGTTGCCCACCACACTGATATCAGAGCACCTTCCACATAAAAGAGATTGGCAATAGTGAAATTCTTGGTGGACTGTGTGGAGTCTCTTGCCTTGTCTACGCAGCATGGCAAAGTGCACTAGAGGAGCCCAGTTTATAAAGCCCTCTGTGCTGTACTCTAACTGCTCTGTATAGACCCTGCTGGTGCACTCTAAAAGGTACCTAGTTCCTGATACCTTTTAAAGCGCGCCAGCAGAGTCTACACGGGGCAGTTAGAGTGTAACAAGTTAGAGTGAGGTTTGCTGTACTGTGTAGACAAGCCCTCTGGTTTTTCTCAGCTTATGGAAATTACTTGGGGTAGGGGTCACGTTTTTAAAGTGCTTTGAAGATGAAAGGCCCAATGTAAGAGTTACTGTAGTTATTGCTTTGTGGGTTCAATGAGGCCACAACGGTTTTTCTTGCCATATTTTCTTGCTTCCATTTTGTGCTGCTGGGTATAACCAGAAATGGGCAGAACGTGCAAAAATGTAAGAGAAAAATACTAACTCAGAACATTAACCAAATGTTTCTGAGCCTCAGAAAAGATTGGTTTGGATTTGGGCCAAATAAGTTCTTAATGAATCCAGGCCACTTTGCTCACTCTGGATCCACTACTGTACCTGCTCCTGTTATTTAAGGGTAGCAGCCAAACTGCAAGCAGATGTCCCCTAGTGGGGCTCGCACATCTCTGGTCTGACCAGCATACAGTACCTCCTAGTGGCATCTTCATTGTACGTATCCTTGTCACCTCATCTTTGACTTTCCCTTCACAGTAGTAAGCTCCGACAGTTTCACCAGCTTGTTCCCTTTTCCACACCACTTTTTTGGCTGTTCCTCTCTTCTCGTCTTCAGTAACTTCCAGAGGGTCCTGGTGTTGGCTCATCAAGGCCTCATAGTCTCGCCCTATTGTGACAGACTCGCGGGAACTCCATCTGGCTGCAATGCAGATAAGCGATGTCTCTGAGTTGCTCACTAGAGGGAGTGAATTGATCAACACCAGGTCCAGTGCTGCCTCCACTTTACCTACAAACAAACAACAGGTGAAGGGATTTTTCTGCAGAGTCTGAGTATTGCTTTTAGTTCTGATTGTTCACATAGGGGCTTTTGAAGTAATAATATATGGAGATATACCTATCTCATAGAGCTGGAAGTGACCCTGAAAGGTCATCTAGACCAGACCCCTGCCTTTACTAGCAGGACCAAATACTGATTTTGCCCCAGATCCCTAAGTGGCCCCCTCAAGGACTGAACTCACAACCCTGGTTTTAGCAGGCAAATGCTCAAACCACTGAGCTATCCCTCCCCCACACTCAGTGCTTCCCCAGTGCTAAAATAAAATGGCTGCATGTAAATATTCTGTTCTAGTTACTTTGGGAACAAACCCTGAGCCCAGATTGTGCCTTAGGAATGTTTGGAAGGAGAGGACCCTCCACTCATGGCTTTCCTCAGTTTGTGCAGAATGGGAAGTGAGCCACCTCTCTGGCAACACAGACCCTTTCCTCACACCTCTTCATGGTGAGGGGTGATGCAAAGGATCCTATATCCAAACCTATGGAACATGCTTTAAGACCAGCACTAAGAAGTAGGGGCACAGGGAGACTGTTGTGTCATCACTGCGGATATAATTGCATGCATGGATCAGTGGCCATGCACTTGCTCCAAGTAGCCGTCGACTGATGTATACAAATAATAGCATCTATTTTATCGTTCATGAGCTACCTTATCTGGGCCTTCATTTTTATGGGAAGAATTTGTACCAGGAAAAATTGAGACCAGTATCTGAAAATATGCCTCTACGAGACAATCATACTCCCATATTTCAAATTTCTGAGCCAGCTTCTCCACTGCTTTGTACCTTGTGACCCATGCACATCTGAATGGAAAACATTAGCAAATCAAAATGCCCTCTTTATGCCCACTTTGCCAAGGTGCCAATGGCTAGGCAAAGTGCAGGGCAGTGGAGAATCAGACCCCTGTTTGCATCAAAGAAAATCCCCTTTTTCTTACCCTAACATTGCTAATTATATGTTGGCTGTTTCCTGGGCTACAGAATCTAAAATTACTTTAAAACTAAGAACTTAAACTCTCTCCCATCACCCCCTTCCCTCACTGATCTACAGTCTAGTATGGTTATCGCTTTAAAACCCAAATGAGAACAACAAACAACAGAGTTACAGAGGTTCCTTACAGTTTTCAGTGATCAGTGTTTCCAACAGTTAACGACGCGCAATTTAAGAAAGCACTTAAGTTCCAACACATGCTTACTGGCTTTCCAACAAGTACATATTACTTACATTTTGATAGTCTGGACATCTCACATAGCCATAGGAACTAATAATAAGAAGAAGAACAAATATTTTGGACATCTGAGCTGTCTCCCATAGATCTGAAAGTGTTTTTCAACCATTTAACCAATGAAGACTCACAACATGGCCAAGATGTAAGTATTATTACAGACTGGAAAACTGAGGCAAAAGGGAGGTTAAGTGACATTCCAGAGGACATAAGAAGTCTGTGGCAGAGAGATAAATAGAACCCAGACTTTCTAACTCCTAATCTTGTGAGTTTGCCAATAGATAAGGCTCCCTTTAATAAATGTAACTGACTTGAAATACTATGGTGATAGGTACTGTTTAAAAATGGCAGATAGATACAGAGAGAGAAAGAGAGAAGGATAATTACAATGTTTTCTCTTGGAAAGTGTTTTAAGTCTTAGTTGTTGAGGGAGTGAGATACAGAACCCCTTATGCTCAGTGCTTTCGGTTTTGGAAATAAGGGTAAGGAGTAGGGGAATGCTGTCATTTTTCAGCTAAAATGCAAACAATAATTGATTTCTATTAAGCATCGCCTTTATTTTCCAGCTTTAGATTCAGCTGTATTTTGTGTGTATACCAGCAGGCTCTCTGCAGTCGGTATTTTGTGCCATTCCGTTTGCAAACAGCTTTCAGTTTTGAAGCAAGGAGTATAGCCCTAGATAAAGAGGTCAAAGGGGAGCAGTGCTTACTGCAGATTCTGAATGTGTGCGTGTGTATTTTGTGCTTTAGTCCAAGGGAGGAGGTACCTCACGGCATGCAATGCCAGCAGCTTCTCAGGGGAATGTAGTATCTTAAGACACACTGACACCCATCCCTCCCAGCCAGAGTGCTGCAGTTACCACCCTTTCATGTGCCAACCCAGATAACTTATGTTACATAACAGAGAAATAAAACCTTCTGGAAAGAATGTAGCAGCCATTAAAATAAATGTTGTATAAAGCCAAGGGTCAAAGAAGTCAAGTCATCCTGTAGCACATTACAGAAATAACTCGTTTGAATACAGCTAAAGTTAAGTAGCTGTACAATGCAATCATGGCCAGTTGGGTGTGTGCATTTTATTCATTTTTTATTTACCGCATATATAGGGTCTAAGCATGCAGTCTCTACTCACATGAGCAGTTCTTCCTTGCTCACTCTGCCAAGTCTCCTCTTGCTTTTAACCAGGGTAAATCAGAAGCCATTCCACTGAAGTCAATATTTAAGGATGAAGGTTCTACAACAGTTGTCTATGTATGTTTCCTACAGAGCATTGAGTGCTTACTGGAAAGATGCATACCTCTATAGAAGTCAAGGGAGCTAGAGCAGCTGAGGAGCCATCCCATATTCTGGCAATTCATAACTAAACTTGGGCCTGAACCAACACTGGATCCTAATTTCCCCAAACTCTGGAGAAGTTCAGATTCAAATCTGGATCCCAACTCCATGACTGGGGTGGGATTGTTACATGTAACGCATTCCCCTGGAGTGGTGGAGCTTGAGGCAAGGTTGCAAATTAGAATGAAAATGCATTGATATAGCTGAGAGGGAAGGGCTTCCATAGCACCTACATGGACACAAATATCCCCCCCCCGCGCCCCTGGTCACCTGTGTGGGTGGGATGGGTCAGCATCCCCATGCTGACCTGGTCTGAAGCTGCCACAGCAAGTCATTCTCCAGATCTCTAGCCCTTAAAGGGGCACATACCTTTTTGACAAGTCAGACAACTCTCCCCCGCCCCCCACACTGTTTAATGTGCAGTCAGGTACTTTGCTTACATGAACATAGATTTCAAGTCCAAAATATAAAAATAAAGAGAACATCTTTCTCCTGCATTGCAGGAGAATTTTAATACCCCTCAAAAGCAGCAGAATCTTAGTCTGGGGCCTAAGTCTTGTGTAGGCATTGATCCCGGTGCAAAGTGGGTATAGTGAGTAGGCATTGATCCCGGTGCAAAGTGGGTATAATGAGTGTCAAATCAGAATGGAAGCACTTTACACCCAATTTGCTCTCTTTGCAGAGGTGAAATGACTAAACACAAGGCACAGAACAATAAAGACTCAGGTCCATAGTTTATCTAAGGCCTGGCCTACACTTAAAAATTAGATCACCTAACTACATTGCTCAGGGCTGTGAGGGTTGCTCACCTCCTGAACACCACAGGTAGGTCAACCTAATCCCTTAGGTAGGTTGATGGAAGACGACTTCTGTCAATCTAGCTTCTGCCCCTGAGCTAGATGGATTAACTATATCAAAGGAAAAACCTCTTCCACTGATGTAAGCAGCATCGACACATAGCTGTGCCAATGTAGCAGCTGTACTGTAGGCATGCCCTTAATATGAGACTATCCCGGTGGAACTGACAGTCTGACTACCCAAGAGTCATTTATTCCTTGGGGATCAAAGTCTCATAGCTGGAATCCATTTCAGGTGGAGATGAAAATATAGTCCAGGTGCAAATTCTGAGCTAATGAAACCTCCACCTCCAGATAGATGGTCCCAATGAGGGCCTGATCCTGCAAGGTGCTGAGCATTTCCTGGGAGAAGAATAGCTCTCTCAACTCCCACTGGCCTCAGGATCTGTAGGACTGGACTTTTAGGGCTCAAACTAAAAACCATTGAAGTAATAGAAAGACATCTGATATCGCCAAGCGGCAAAGGATTAGACCCTTAGTCCCCTTAGATGTAGGGCTTGTCTATATGTACAGTTAGTGCTCAGTAAACTGGTGTATAAATCTACTTTGCAGTAGCTTGCTGCACATGAAGTGTCCGTGTGGCCCCAGCTGTGATGCACGAAATGTTCCATAGTGCGCTTTGAAACTGGAGTAAGTCCCAATGCACTAGGGAACTTTTCGTGCCCAGCAGCAGAGTCCACACAGTCCATTAGAACAGTGGGTCTCAACCAGGGGTACGTGTACCCTGGTGGTACGCAGAGGTCTTCCAGGGGGTACATCAGCTCATCTGGACATTTGCCTACTTTTACAAAGAACTAGCGAAGTCAGTACAAACTAAAATGGCATACAGACAATTACTTGTTTATACTGCTCTATATACCATACACTGAAATGTAAGTACAATATTTATATTCCAATTGATGTATTTTATAATGATATGGTAAAAATGAGAAAGTCAGCAATTTTTCAGTAATAGTGTGGCTGTGGCACTTTTGTATTTTTATGTCTGATTTCGTAAGCAAGTAGTTTTTAAGTGAGGTGTAACTTGGGGTATGCAAGACAAGTCAGTCTCCTAAAAGGGATACAGTAGTCTGGAAAGGTTGAGAGCCACTGCGTTAAAGCGCAGCAGGCTAGTGCAAGGAAGATTTACATCCCAGCTTGCTGTGTTCTAATTGACCATACAGACAAGCCCCTAGGAGAAAGTGCTGATAAAGTAGATTTCTGCTGCAAGCCAACTGCCTACAGCATCCCTGCTTAGCCGCCTCTCATGGCCAAATCCTGCTATTCTTATTCAAGAGGAACTCCCGCTCCTTAGTGTGGCAAAACTCACGCAAAACTAACCCTTGAAGTCAATGGGAGTTTTGCCCAAGCTGTGACTGAAGGATTTAGCTCTCTGAGAACGCAATAAACACAGACAGGAAACAGCCTTTCTCTGTATCAGTGAAGATCCCCTGTGCTTCCTTGAAAAAATCCTTTGATTCCTGCCCTTCTCCTTGTAGGACTGACCTCTGCAGGAAGGCGATTTGCTGTGTATGCAAAGGGGGTTTGGGGAAAGGAG